GTAAAAGTTATTTGTATTTCAGAATTTATCATTTTAAAAGACAGTTAATACTGAGTAAGTATCAAGGAATAAGAATTACCGAAAACATTTTGAAAACAGCAATGAACATTAAAGCAAGCTTGGCCGTGAACTCTCAGCTAGCTGCATTATGCGGGGGTCAGAGATGAGAGGCTTGTCCCTCCACTGCCATCCGTCAGCCTCGGCGCAGGTGCGCCTGTACTGACAACCGTGTGGCAAGGAGCCCAACCAGCCAGGGCAGGGCACTGAGGGGACCCGGGGGCCTTCTTCTGACACAGCAGTAACAACATGCTGTTCCTGTTATCGCCTGAACTTCAATTCTACCTCCTCCGGTATCTATACAAGGAACTGTTCATTCATTTCCATGAACTAAAAGAAGAAAGTTTCCATAACATTAGAATACTATGGCTGAAAGGCAAATCCACAGGCATTAGATTTCTCACATCTTGCTAAATGCCAGACTTAGATTAAAACAAACCAAAAACAAACAAACAAAAAAGCAAACAAAAAACATCTAGAAAAACCCAGACAAGTGAAACATACATTTTATTATTCATTGCTTTTAAAGAAATGGCCAACATCTAACATGGCTACCAACAGTTCAAAAATTTTTTAAATCCAGTCATAAAATTATCTCCCTTTCTGTACAGTGGATGTGCGTTTACAGTTTGTAGAATTCAAATTACCAAGGAAAAAAAAATTGAGAGCCCAAAACAGACAGAGGTGTAACATGCCTGTTCTGTTGTTCAGGATCTAGAATCTTGGTCTTTGATTCACTGTTTCATCATGTCATTTTGATGTAATTTCTTTATAACAGTCTCTAAAAGTTCTAATATTAAATTACACTCTGGAAACCTTTTGCAGTGTAAGGAATCACAGAAGAAAATTCAGGACACCCCCCAAAAAGTTCTGGTAGGTTTACTAATGAAAATTCTCATCAACAGTTGTTGCTGGGTTTTCTTCTACTTAAAAAAATATATATTTAAAAAAAACTGTCTTTTGAATGTTTATTTTGAAAACTACCAATTTTTTGAATCTCGATTTTAGACAAATCACAAGCACCAGAATAAAAATACAGTCTCACCTTGACAGGTGTGACTCAGTGGACTGAGCACGAGCCTGAGAACCAAAAGGCTCCTGGTTCGATTCCCAGTCAGGGCACATGCTTAGGTTGGGGGCGTGCAAGAGAGACAACCAACTGATGTTTCTCTCGCACACTGATGTTTCTCTGCCTCTCTTTCTCCTTCCCTTCCTCCTCTCTAAAAATAAATAAATCAAACCTTAAAAAAAAATAGTTTCAACTATCATTTGCAAAACACAATTTAGTTAAAAATATTTCAGACCAAAAAGAATATAATTGGGGACATCAAATAATGAACTGTATCTTCCAACACAGATAAAAATAAATTATAACTATGTACTAAAACATAGCATTAAAGGAAAAGAAAGCCTTTGTGTGAGCTCCCAAAGAATTCCTCCTCTGCATACAGGGACACAAAAGCATTTTTAGCTTTCAGGTTTCGACAAATCCTGTTGTAACAACAACTCCCTCCCTTCCCCGCCTCCTCCTTTCTTAATTCTCCCACAGCTCAAAAAATGAGATGGAGAACCTGGTATTTATCTTCTAGCTCCATCAGCAGTTTCACCTCTCAGATTCCTATGTTGCTCTTTATTTGCTATTTGCGAGTGAGCTTGTTGGAGCTGTATCACTAATGCCCAGAAGCTGTAGAGTGAGCCTCGCGTGAGTGGTGACTCCTCCCTCATCACACCTCCCTGGGGTTCACGTGAAGACAACTGACCACACGGAATTGAGACACTGAAGGCGACAGACACAAGGTATGGAAACTGAGACACTTCTGTGATGCTTGACGCTACATGTAGCTCTTCCAGCACCATTGAGTTGGAAGTTTAAGTTGTAAATCTTTTTTTAAACACTAGTTTTGATATAAATAAATTTTGACTGGAAAACGGACTCCACTCTTTAATGATACTCACTCCAGACTTTCGGCAACTAGTTCACAAATTTAACACTCATAGGTTCTGTTCTGTGTGCGCTGTGTTTTGGAGCCATGAGAGAGCTCTCTCCTTAGAACTAAGTTTGCTTACTGTCACGGTATTTCTCTGCCACCACCCCAGCCATTTAAACAAAGTGTGCCTTTATTGTCTACCCGGTAGAAATCTGAGAGAACAGGCCGCAAACTGTATCACGCTTGTGACTGGGGAGGAGAAAAAACAAAAGATTTCATAGCACTATAGCTAGGATGCCAGTGTGTTGCTACAAAAGAAACAGAATAGTGACCTTGTTTTTGGAGAACAAATTCCTTCTGCCTAAGTTCTGCAGACAGGAAAAGCATTTAAAGCCCTATATTTAACGTAAGCGAGCACTATGCTAACTGAATGCAATGTCACATTGTTTACGCTGATTTTGGCCGCCTGTAATTTATCACTGCCAGTGCTTGTTAATGAAGATGAACAAGCTGCCTGCAAGTCTGAATTACAGTGAAATTTATAAAATGTATTGGCTAATGAGAAAAAAAAGGGTTATAATTGGGAAGCTGAGCATAGACTGATCAACACATAAAGGTTACTCAAGCAAAGTGAAAATAAAGAAATGAGATGCTGTCAGGGAATGTTAACAGCAGTTTGGCTCTTAAAGGATCCCTGTGCTGAACAGGTCCAGGAAGGGAGTAATTTAGTGAGCTGGCTGGCGCTCTCGGCCCCGACCAGAAAACAGCTATTAAGAAACTATAAACATGTGCTTTATTTTCTTCTAAAAACTTTAACTTCTATTCTGTTCCAGTCTTAGTATGTAAAGAAGTAAAGTGTATGAGGCAGGTAAAGCCTAGGCACTCGGATCCTTAGATTAAGTCTGGTTCTTAAGTATTCAAAATCTCAGGGAAATCCTCTCCTAAAACTGGAAATTTCACATGTTAAGACTATGAACAAAAATAGAGCAATGGCATCCAGACAGCCCAGGATTTAACTTCTTAGAGAATCACTGTTAAAACTATAGGAAAGTTCATACTTTCAATACAGGCATGCATTTCACAAAAGCCAGGCAGAGCCTTCCTTGGTGCGTCTCCAAAGCTAAGGCATTTACCAAATTGATACCCTCTGGAGACTTTTTTCTTTCTTTCTTTCTTTCTTTCTTTCTTTCTCTTTCTTTCTTTCTTTCTTTCTTTCTTTTTTTCTTTTTTTTCTTTTTTTCTTTCTTTCCCTCCTTCTTCCCCCCCCCCCCCTCCTCCCCCCCCCCCCCCCCCCCCCCCCCCCCCCCCCCTCTTTCTTTCTTTCTTTCTTTCTTTCTTTCTTTCTTTTTTTTGTGGGAGAGGGAGTGAGTGAAGCTGACAGTTACTGGTACTTTGTGCCTTCAGACAGAACACGCTCCTGGCTTCTCACCGGAAGAAAGCTCACCGGAAGAAAGCGCCAGAAGTACCAGGGTCGCGGGAAAGGGTGCAGGCTGCTAACCTGAAAAAAAGGATGGCCTACCGCATTATAGCTACAGCTCACCTCTAAGGGTCTATGCCAATGAATTAGATCAGCCGAAGCAAGAGAAAAAAGAAACTGCCATGTGACATAACAAAGATCACATGACATTTGTCATGATATAAAATAAGGAAATAAAAATATGAATAACAATGCCAATGATAATTTACTGAGTACTTTCTATGGGGGTACATATTGTTTTAAGCCCTTAAAATGCATTGGCATATTTAACTTCATGATATAGGTACTATAATCCTCCCCATTTTCCAGAAGAGGATCCTGAGGCACATGGAGAAGTTCTGGAAAGCCAAGAAATGACCCACACTGCCCTTTGTCAAATATATATGAATCACGACAGAGCCACTTTAACCCATCATTCAAAACTAATTCAGAAACACAAAAAAGCCAGTGTTGTGTTTCAGAAACTGCCGTATTTCCCAGAGAAGGAAGTAGGCACTGCTGGGTTAAAACATAGCGAAGCGGCAGAGTGGTAACTTTTCCCTCTTAAAAAAAAAAAGAGAAAATAAAGTGTTCCGTTATTTTTGGTATCACTTCATGGACAAGTAACAATGTGGTTATGTCTGTAAGCATTTTTGAGATTCGATGTCCCTGCTTCGGAACTGTTCAGAATAACCGGTTTTGCAGCAGACCGCGGCATTTGGGTCAGGAGAGGATTCTGGTCCCAGCTAGAAAGGCTCTCACATTCTCATAGCGAAGGACAGTGGCTTAATTGTTCCATATTGAGTACCTTGTACCTGAAGTGAAAGGAGTGCCACCGTAGGTAAGGATATTGCAAATATTTATTAACTAGAAACCAGGGATGATCATGCAGGTGACTTCTCTCCACTACTTTCCTCTCCTCCTTAGCTCACCTGGGTCATGTGCTGGCACATGGTGGGTCCTTAATAAACACTTGTTTAAAATAACATTTTTTGAATACTTAAAACTTTTGCAATATATGTTAATATTTCATTTTTAAGTGGTGGGTTTAAATTATTCTTTTCTTCCTTATAACCTAGAGTATTTTAATTAAAAACAAAATGTTTTAAAAACCTGCAATGCTATAGAATTCTTTATCAGGTCTAATGGCAGGAATGTGGTTATGCCTACGCCTCCTCACAAGGCTACAGGCCTGCCTTGCAGACAACTTCGCAGCACCGCTGAAGTTTTAAAGGCAACCAAGTGCAGAGCCCTTTCCGTTCCGCCAGGCACCCGGCCCCAGCCACGCCAGCCCCCCAGGAGGACGGAGCCTCCGAAGGCCTGGCGTGAGCTCTGTCCCTGGGCAGCTGCGCCCGCAGCCCCTGCGGCCTAGGCACTGGCTCCCACTGCGCACAGAAGCGTTTTTGTTTCTTCTTTCTGCCCTCACGCCTGACTTTGTCTTCTTTCCCCAGCCTTTGTTACTTGGTTCTCCACTGCACAGAAGCAGCGGCGATTCTGACCCAGGGCCATCATAACTGACCAGCAGGCTTTTCTAGGCAGACAAAGAGAACGGTACCGGCATGGCCTGGGCGGGCGTCCAGCTCTTTGCTTTCGTCCTGGCCTTCTGCGGGGTCTCTGGCGTGCTGGCGGCCACCGTGCTGCCCAACTGGAAGGTGACCGTGGACGGGGGCTCCAACATCATCACGGCCATCGTCCAGATGCAAGGGCTGTGGATGGACTGCACGTGCTACAGCACCGGCATGTTCAGCTGCACCCTCAAGTACTCCATCCTGTCCCTCCCCACGCACGTGCAGGCTGCGCGGGCCGCCATGGTCCTGGCCTGCATCCTGTCTGCCCTGGGGACCTGCACTTCCACAGTGGGGATGCAGTGCACTCGCTTAGGACTGGAGAGAGGAACCAAGAGTCACGCTTCTTTTGCTGGTGGCGTCTGTCTCATGTCTGCAGGGATCTCCGGTTTGATACCGACGGTGTGGTACACGAAGGAGATTATCACCACCTTTCTGGACCTGACAGTTCCAGAAAGCAACAAACATGAACCTGGGGGAGCTGTCTACATCGGATTCATTTCGGCCGTGCTGCTGTTGACCTCCGGCACGATTTTCTGCACTTCGTGTATGAAAAGGGATCCAGAAGCGTGGCTTTCCACCCGTAAGCAGCAGCAGACCCCCACCACAAAGATTGAGGGCGATTCAGCATACAACCTGAGGGATTATGTGTAAATCACTGTGTGATGCACGTGGAAGTTCTAGATGCCTACTGGGACTTCTGTCTTTATTTTAGATTAAAAAATATATATACCAGAATTATGCTTAACTTTCTCTGCAAAAATCTGAAGTACTAAAAAAAAATAAATTAAAAAAATGGCAAGGTCATTTAAAATGCCAGCAAACTTTCATGGACAATTACACCTGTTTTAAGACTATTCTTCCATCCCTAGTTTCATGTTTTATCTAAAGGTTTACCATTGAAAGAGGCTCTGATTATATTATAAGGCAATTAATTGATGGCTTTTTCTTCTCTAAGATAACCTGTTGATGCATTTCCTGAATTGGTACTTAATTGGGTTTCATAAAATGCCACGTGTGAGAAGCGCCTTGCCCCGGCGCCACTCCAGGGACCCCCGCGTTAGCCACTCGGCTGGCGCCGCCACAGCGAGCTGCCTCTGCCTGCAGCCCCGCGGCATCGCAGCAGGCTGGGGGCAGAAGCGCTGTCCATCGCTTTCAGGGTCGCCCGAAGCAGCCACCCCAACTCCCTACCTGTGACTTCCCTGTCCCTTTTTTATTTTAGAAAATTTCTACACACATTTGGGAGAGCCGACAATATGACCTTCAAAGATGAGGCAGAACGAAAGGGAAGACACTGGTAAATGGTACCACAGCACAGCAAAAGCAAACTAAATGAAACTCCGATCTCTAGCGCTTTTAAAGCATTAAGCACAAGCCAGGCAGTGAGAGTGCGTCTGTGGGAATACGCTCAAGGAGGGCCCCCTTCTGCTGCCAGCAGGAGGCGCCACGTCAAGTCACTTGTCCACGGCAATGTAGATTGACCCCATCTCGTTTCATCTCTCATTGATGAGTGCTTGGAGTTACTTTTAAGTTGTCATTTTATGCTCTAGTTTGATCCACATTTACAAAAACATTGTTCTCTTATAAACAAGCTGCTTCAATGAATTAATAGATGTAAAAGTAGTTTTTAAAGTATAAAGAATACTTTTAAAAATCTAAGTTATCTTATGTATTTCAAATATTTTAAAAAGAAAATAAAAATTGGATTCTTTGAGGTGCAAAAGAAACATTGCACACTGTTGTTTCTAATAATTTATTTGTTAATTCAAATTTAATCATTACTCGCAATATAATGGAAAATAGGAAAAAAGCATTTCTTTGTACATTAATAATTCAGGAATGGGAAGACTATCTTTTTTGAGTAAATACTTTTCATTTGTTCAAAGGAGTAGAGATTGAAATATTTTAGTCAGCAGATCCTCACTCTCTTCCTCAACATTGTCATCAGCTGTTAGTGGAATAGCTAAAATGAAAAGGTGCTATTTCATGTATGGATTAGAAAAGGAATCATTTAAGCAGAAGTTTAAATGCTGTTTAAAATATGCATTCCTTTTGAATGGTCAAAATATTTTCTAAACAAACGTATTAAAAATAATCCTAATACAAAGACTATTTTAGTGCCAATTAATGTGACAGGATTGCTTTGACACCTTTACGGTCCTCTCATTTTGCTTAATGTGACTGGCTACTACATATGTAGTCTACATACCCTATAGTCCTACGTTAAAAGCTTATTTATATATTCTATAAAAGTCTATACATACTTCAAAATAATTTTCACTTCTAGAATGTTTTCTTCCTAAATACATATAGGAGTGTTTTGAACTCTCAGAAAAGCAGCCACTTCATACAAAATAATGGCCCGATTCTTTCCTGACTCGAACCGGCGATGAGGAAACGGTGTGTACCCCTCCGGGATCCGCCCCTCTGTGCCGCACCCCCAGCCTCCTCCACGCTCACCGCTCGCCTGCTCTGCTCCCACTCCCCCTTAGGGTCACCCGGGGTCTCCTGCGTGAACTCAACCCCGACGCCCTGAGGCAGCTCGCTGCCTCCGTTTCCGTGCTCTCAGAGAATGCTCTAGAAACACACACCACTCGTTTACAAGACTGCATCTCCACCCAGACTCGGAGCCAAGGTGTCTTTCTTACCTTTGTGTCCACAGTGACTATGACATGCCAGTCCTGACCAAAATCCTCTGCGTGCACCGACTGGTTTCAGTCTCCTAAGGACACTAGGAGGCAAGTGCTATTCTTAGGGGCTGACAGCAACTGAGGCAGAGGAAGGGTGGCGGCGACCTGACTTGTTGCCCAAGGTCACACAGCTGTAAGTGGGGAGCTGGGTTCAACCTGAGGGAACCAGGTGCCAACTGCGTGTAAGGGTACACAGGACACAGGTTACGCAGCACACATCACTGATTCCCAGTTCTTGTTTGCTCATGTGAAAAAGGGCATTTTCGGTATCTGCTCAGAGTTGTATTAAGTGAGAAAATACAACAAAACATGCATCGTGACATGGTGAGCGTGCAATGAGTGCAGCCCACGTTCTCAGTCTAACTCCGCGGTTTCCAGCAGGGGGCAGGGTGGGGGGGCATTTGGTAATGCCTGGCGACATTTTGGTTGTTCTATCTGGGGTAACGGTACTGGAATCTAGTGGGTAGAGGCCAGGAATACTGTTAAATATCCCACAATGCAGAGGAGGGCTCAGCAACCAAGAATTATCTGGACCAAAATGTCAACAGTGATGAGGTTAAGAGACCCTGGTCTAATCTACTTGAATGCATTTAAACATTCATTTTTGTTTGATTAAAAAGTTCCTAAAAGAACACTCCCCCCTAAAAAATACCAAAAATTTCCCAGAATATCATGTTTATTTTACCTATGGAGCAGGGGTATGCGTGTAAAACTAAAGAAATCATCTAGTAATTCTTGCAGAAACGATGAAGACTTCACTTAAGTTAGGAGAATGGGTACAGGAATAGACAGATTTAAGAGGTGCGATGTAGGAATGCCAGAAGTCGGTAACTGGTGGCTGGCTGTGAGGGTGAAGGTAAGGGGGAGGGCGGGGTCCTTAAGGTGGCCTTGGGGTTAGGCTCGGGTGACCCGGCCTGAGCAGATGAGTATATGGGGCGGCGGGGCTGGGGGGCCGGGGGGCCAGGGGGCAGGCCTGCGGTAGGCGGATACGAGTAAGCTCCGCGTGGGATGTGGAGTCAGTGTTTTCTCGCTCTTCATTTCCCAATGAAGACTGCTAAAGTGATTTCTTTTATCCCCGTATTTTTAGCTGCATACTTTAGCATGCATCACCTTTATGGACTTTGAGGACTTAGAGCAAGCGATGGCTGTGCGGTGCCCTGCTGCATATGTCTTCACTACCTCCAATAACATTTTTCTTCATTTCCCTGTATTTCATACATAAATAAAATTGTCATTTGCAAAACCGCAATTCTGTTTCTTAAGAATTGTAATTCTTATTGCTTATCTCATTCTTGAATAGTTATGAATGCATAACTAGTATTAAATTAGGTTATTAGAGTAAATATACTTATTTGTATTCAACACTTATTTTATCTGATCTTTAAAACGGATGACTGTTACTTTTCTACAATCATAAAATTGACTTTTAGTATACGTATTTACCTTTTTTTTAGACTTACCCATTTTCAAAAAAATTCAAGGCAAATTACAATAAGAATACTGGTACAATAAGTATAAAAGTCAATGATAAAAGTGAAGGACTAAAGTTACAGTGAAAAGGAAGACAGAGAGAATGCCATTAAATGGCCCCTGCTGAAGGCTGCTAAAGCAATTAAATATGAAACTCAGCTCAGAACTTCTTCCCAGCAACCCAGGCAGAAAAGGCCACACGAGGAATCGGAGCTTTGTCGGCTGGCAGGGGCCTCGTGGGGCCGCCTCCGGTGCCCCGACCCAGCTCCACTGCCCGGCCCGCGCCCGCCTCCCAGCGGCGGCGGATGTGGGCGCTGCCGATCCTGCATTAGGACCGTTTCACACGGAGGCTGAGGCCCCCACCGCTGCGCACAGGCACATCTGAAAGCCGCTAAAACGCTGTCCTCAAATGTCGGGCTTGGGTGCCCCAAGTCCTGCCCTTCTCTTTGTGTCATGGGTGCATCATCATTAATTTATCTAAAATTGTATTGACACAATTTATGCTTTCAACCTGTACCATGCTTGGGAGTAACTTGCTCAACATAATTAATAGGCAAAATCAGGTATAAATTATATTTACATCTGAAAAAACATAATCCACACTACTGTAATAAGATCTTACAAGTTGGTTCGTAAGTATTTGTTTATGTTCATAACAGTAACATCTATCTCCCACTGTCTCCTTGTGCCAGAGGCTCATTTTATGCACTTTACATTGATTATCTCAGTCCTTCAAGGGTGGCACTACTGCCCCAATTCCATGTATTGAAACTCTACCTATTAACCTGAGCAGGCCCTTATAACTAGGAGCGCTGGAATCCCAATGGGCCTAGCTAACTTTACGGAACTTCTAATTCTTTCGCTAGGGAATGATGCCTCTACCCTGTAAATCAAAAGAACCCGTTCCAATTGTCATGTTACATCTAAGTGACTCTCCTACTAGGTTGGAGTACAGGATATGTTCAGACATAACACCTATCCATGTTATGAGAAAGCTGTCAACCCGTGACCACAATGTATAAGAGAAAAAAAGATGACAGAAGTTTGAGGGAATAGCTAATAGCTCAGGATTTATTGAACTTGAACAATGGGCAAACTAGCTGAAAAAAAGTTACCGTGGAACCCCAGAAATACGTGGATTCTTGGGGATCTTCAGGTGCCATCTTGAGAAACTTAAAATTTTATTCTTTCATGGAAGCATTTTCTAGTTGTGATTTTTGAACTGAGAAAAGGACATTTGGCCTTGTAATATTTTTACTAACTGTGAAATGAAAATACAAAAATTTAAAAATTCCAACTTAAAATCCATATGCTACAAACTCTAGTAGTTTAAGGAACACTAGAGTAGACCAATTAATCCAATTTTAAGGAGAGGAGAGGTTGTGTTTTCTGTAGATAGAGAAGAATTTTGGGTTCAGACTTTGGGGACCACACCAGAGAAGTTAATGAGAGTGAAGGGTCTGGCAAGAATTTTGTCCAACTAGTCAGGAGAGAATTGTAGGCGCTCCACGGTAGTGGAAGTTCTGCCAGTAAAGGTGACTGAGTCAGTTTAATCTGAAGACTGATGAACAGAAGGGATAATAGATTCTCACAGAAAAAAAACCCTAAGGTGGATAGAAATAAACTCTTCTTGTTATATCACAAAATAAATTCTCTATATCTCATTCTGAAAGAGTTTTGGCTTAGAGTAAGTACTGAATTTTAGTAAATTTCCTCTGAACATCTACAGAGAATTAACCTCTCTCTCAGCTCCCTCAGGAACCTGCCTAAACCTCTATTTTAGCCCCTAGGGTATTTCACCTTGTGTAGTAGTTACTTGACTTAGGGCTTAGCCAGAGGGGCAGCCTTGTGCCATTATTTTAACATCTCTGTAAAAACTCTCCTCCTTTCTTACGAAAAAAATGTTCTAAAAAGTTGCTCGACATAATTAACTATCAGTCAAATACTTTCTGACTTTCCCCAGAGCACTCATAACCTGCTCTAATATGGTAAAACTATTTCAGAGCAACAGAGAATTCTTTTAGAACTAAAATTTAATCCTTTGATTTACTGTTTTCCTTTCTCATAATAGGTTCTCTCTCCTCCTCGATAACTGCTTTCCTAGACTGCAAATAAATTCCTCCATGTAATATTTTCAATATGATGAAAAGCATGTAAAGAAAATTATTATATGTTTCATTTGCCAAAAAGCAAACATTCCTCAATAAAAAGAGAATCAAAAACACAGCTAGCTCTTTTCCCCAAAATAATATATATTTTCATAAGGCCTTACTCCCAGAGGAAAAACTTAATTAACTAACAATGGCACCTTATCCCTAAATCAAAGATAAAGTTGATAACGACTTCTAAACACCATCGAATACACTCAACAAGGTAACTAAAACAAAGAGTTAGAAACTTTCCATTAAAAATATTCTAACATCCACTCTAAGAAACAATCAGGTAGCCTAAAGATTCTGGGTGATGGTAAAAACCAAAACTATAAAAAGCCTAAAGATCTTGGTCTCTGATAGAATTGGGTCTGACACTATTCAAAATGTTACAAACACATCTGGATGCATGACAAGCAAGCAAGCAAGCTACATGATCGCTTGGTTTTCTTCAATACAAGGAGCACCCGTTCTAGGGTAGAAAATTCCTGAAAGGGCACATGTATTAAATGTGGTGACGACCTACAAGGTACCCTCAGTTACCAAATTCTGTCTAGGATCTAGTAGGATCTATTGTTTTGCAAGAAGCCATTTAAAATGTTGGAAATCTTAAGGCGCTGCGAGGAGGGGGCACCGTGGAGAGTGAGTTCCCTGAGCTGCTGTGGAGACAGCTGACCATGACGTCTGATATATAAATGGAAGGTGGTCTGGATTCCAGCAGACACAGGAAACCCAGCTGACCGTGGTAGGCAGCACAGCAGAGGAAGCAGAAGGTGGTAGTAAAGAACACTGAGACTGTTCAGACACACTTCGAGCGGCACATGCAGGTCTAACAGTATCAGGGCCCCCTTCTATCCCAAAGTCTCTATCTAACCCTAAATACCACACACACAGTTTCACTGTGCCATCTACTTGAGTGCCAGGTGGCGTAAGGGGAACCCTGTACGAAGCCGGGAGAGCTCTGCCCGCGCCTCCAGGAAGCGGGCTCCACGGGGTCTGGCTGGGCTCCCACCCCTGCAGCTGCCTCCTCTCCCCCCGGCCAAGGCTTTGGTGCAGATGCTCGATGTACATTCAAAAAAGAAACAGATGAGTTTTTACGGCACATGTCCTGTGGCACAGATGCCAGTTTATTGATTTTAATTTTTGGCAGAGAAACTTTATTTCTGTAATTAGCAGTTATGTTTCTGTAATTAGCATACAACATCTAATTTAATATTCAGCTATTTTCCCAGAGAGCATAAGTAACATTACCAAAAAAAGGTAACATTACTAAAAAAAGTGGAAAAATATTCACAAAAAAACCCAAAAAATAATGTTTGATGTAACTTTACCGAGAAGTCTCTAACAGAAATCACACACAAAAAATACTTTTTTCTTTTTTTTTGAGGAATGGCTGACCACATAACTTATCTTCTATAACAGGATAATTTAGGTGTAAAAAGGTACAAAAATAATAATAATGATAATAATAGTAATAGTATCACTACCACCAGGGCAACTTGGATAAAACTGAACATTTGGTCATTCTTAATAAGGGGGAGAAAAATTAGAATAAAAACTGTAATTTTAAATTCATACTGTAATTTTTGTGCTTCTTATTCAGGAGAGGTAAAGAAAAACTTATGGTGCAGTTGGTATATTAGCTCAAGATTAGATCCTAGAGCTAATTTCCTATGACACACCCTCAGGCGAGCAAAGAATACAATTAAAATCCAGTTCTGGTAGAGTGAAACAATTGAAGAGAAACTCACCTCCGGTTTGGGAACGAAAGCCCGGCCTGGAATCGTGAGGATGTGCTGAACGTGGCAGAGGTACTGGGCCATCACCGAGAGGCGGCTGCGCTGCCTGCTTCCCGTGCTGGCGGTGAGTCTCTATGGAAGTGAGGAGGTATTTTAGCAAATAACCTACCCAGTCTGATCATAATCAAAAGACAAACAACGAATAGAAAATATAAGAGTAACTCAAATGAACCATAAGCTATGCTCAGCCACACTGCAAATTAGGGACATGCACATTAAAACCATAATGAGATCCAACTTCATTGTCATACAATGAGCATTTAAATGACACAAGAAAGGACCTGGTAGAACCTTGTCTTGGTGACTATGCGGAGCTACAGGAACTCGCACACACTGCTTGTGAGAGGGGAAGCTGGTACAAGCACTTTGAACCATAATTTGACAACATACACAATACAGCTGAAGTTGAGTAAACCCTCACGATCCTTTAGGTTTACCTTTGGGACTTTAGTCTAGAGAACAGTCCATATAGTTACACAGGAGATGTGTGTTAGAATGAATGAATGCTCACTGCAACATTATATGCAATATAAAAAAAACTGTAAAAACATAAATGTCCATCGCAGGTGACTGAATAAGTAAATTGTGGTAATTTTGACAATGGAATACTAAATAGCAGTTAAGATGAATAACAAGAGTTACCAAATAGATTTTAAAGTAGAGTAAAAAATAATTCATTGGCAGAATATATGTAGGGTATGGCTTCATTTATACAAAACTTCAAAAGTTTACTTCTTATTTTGTGCGTGTGTGTGTGTGTGTGCACGCGTGTGCATATTTCTGCAGCGCTGGTAAAAGCCATGCACACCAACGATGAATATAAATTTTAACACAGTACAACTCATGGAAGGGAAATAAAGGAACTAGAAGGTGGCCCCAAACATATCGACATTATTTTCTTTCTTAAAAAAGATAGGAAAAATGGCAATAGGTTAAGATTGGACAAAGCTGACGGAGGATAAAAAAAATTAGGCAAATTTACCTTTCTAAAATGTATCCCGCTTCTCTGTGTTCTGGGAGACTGCTAGCCATTCTAACCTCTCCTGCGCTGCAGGGCGGACGTTACCGGAGGGCCCTGGGGCTGGGGACGCGGGCGGGGTGCCTCGCCGCTGAAGAGCCGCACTTCCCGACTGTGCTTACTGCGGGGTGTTTTTGCTTTCCTGCTTCACTGTTGTGTGCTGACCTCTAATAGTCCCTGTTACTGTGCTGCTTCTAACCTGCTGTGGGCATGAAAACCACATAATTTGACAATTCTGCCTTAAGTAAAATTTTAAAAAATAGGTTTTAATCTGAGAGGCTGAGAAAACTTCCCACGGGCCAAGCTGGCTGTAGATCACACGTAGCATCTGTTTCGCTGTTCAGAAACCAGCTCTCATGTCATCCCTTTTTATTTTGAATTATCTGGCTCTTGTCCGTATTTGGACAGTTGAAATTACTGGGAAGCTGAGTTTAAGACAACTGATGAGGTGCTGCAGTGTATCTGACAGAACAAACTCTTCCCTACTAAAATGTGAAACCAAGAAATATATATAGCCCCAAGCAACTATCAAAAATATAGAGACGAATAATGGAAGTACGGATTTAAGTTTAAGAATAAGCTTATAAATCAAGTGGTCAAAAATATTTCTACTTCATATTAAAAAAAAGAGCTCAATTTTGCCGGTGGTAAAAAATTAATTGAAAATGCACTATGCAAACTGGCTCAATTCAAAGCAGCTCTGTATAATGTTAAAATCTAGCATGAACGTAATCACAAAATCAGAAAATAAACCAAGAGAAGCGCCCAGATTTAAAAAATTATTATTTCATCTTGGATTTTCTTCCACTTTGCTACTTTATATCTGAAATGTATGCTTCCACAGATGAATTCAAGAGATTTAAAAACTACTTTAACCGGAAAGCAAGCCAGTGAGGCATGGAGGGAAGCTAATCTGCTCTGAAGACACGATGAAGCCTGTTTCACTTGGGGCGCTGTGTGTCCCCTCCTGTGAAGGAGGGGCTGCCCTGACCATTAACCTGACCCACCCGGTCTGTGTAGCAGAGGCAGCCGTGGTGTGGAAATGGAAACGCGTGAGCCATGTGGCTCAATTTAGAGGGAAGCAGCACCCATATCTGCCCTAACTCATTAAGGGAAAATTCAAGGCACAGACAGACCAGAAAGCTTTGTGAAGGACTTCATTAAAAGCTAGCTTAAGAGGTAAATGGTCAATCAACCCCTTGGAGACGATGTGGTGTTTCTGTGATGCATATATTATAGGTAAAGCTGTGAAAATTCAAACTCCGTTAGAAGACAGACGACTGCAGCAGCAAAAGGCCAGGACACCAAAACAGCTAATTTTTCAGTAAAAGGAAATGTCTAACCTTTGAGCTTTTAAAAGCATTCTGAGTCTAATGGGAAAAAGGGGGTCAAAGACTTTGCAAGCACAGAGTTGCTGAAATACTTTTTTCCCCTCTTACTCATCTAAAATAATTTTAAGTACAAGTAGAAAAAAAAACTGGCTTATACTTGAGAAGTCAAAAAGCCACACATTGGAGGCAGAATTCCATACTGAGGAAGAGGTGACTCCCTCCCTGCCAGGGATGTGACCATGAAGCAGCCAGGGTCCCCACCGGAGAGGAAGAGGCTGACGCTAGACCCGGGAAGAAAAGACCACAGGTCTAGCCACACAGAGAAGGTGAACATCGTGACTTCAGCAGAAAACATGACTTGTGTTCAAGTTTGGCTTTCCCAGTAACTAGCTCTGTGACCTTTTGGAAAACATTAAATTACTTTGAGCCTCAGTTTCATCATCTATCAAACGAGGTTAGGTGAGATTTTTAAGGTCTCATTTATTGCTCCACAGTCTGATTCTAGTTGACGAGCTGTGACTTTAGACTGTGTGTCTCTTAATGGGCATGAGCTGAATCCACGCTCGCCCTGCAGCCCTGGAAAGAAAGCGCCCCGCTCATTTATGTGTTTTGTAATAGAGTCAAGCAAGGAGAATGTTTAAAAGCTAAAATGTGGCTAAAATACAAAATTATAAATATGACAGTGTCAAGAGCAAAGGCAGAGTGTATATGAAAACAATGTCATATATTTTCCCGCTGAAACCTTCACTTGCAAAATGTGAAAATCAGTCAGAGGACCAGTGTTACCCATACTTCTAAAGCATTCCTTAAATTACGGACTCAATGAAAACACTTTTCTATATTTGTGCTAAAATTTAACTAAAATCAGCTTTTTTTTGGTTTAAGAAAAATAATTGCATATGGTGTTGGAGCAACACTATTATTAATAACCACAACTGACAGTGAGCCACTGAAAATATTATTTCACCTCTGAAGCCTCTGTTCCTTTCTTCTTTCTCCCAAAAGAATGAGAGTACATAGTATTTTGCAACTCTATTGTGTTATTCAAGAACAGAAACGCCATAAAAATCATGTCAGCTGAGAAAACATATCTAAAGACAAACCCAAAGGCTGAGAAAACCAACAAAGAAAACTACTAGTACGGCCTCAGTTCAGACCAACAGAAGAGAGTGAACAGACTTGTGAGCAGGAAAGGATGAAGACCTGAGGAAAGCGAGGACGTCATCATGAAGGTTCTTACACGTCTGTGAGCGTTTTATGGCCCAACACCCTAACACAGTGTCTCAGTCTCAGCAGTGTTGGCATTTGGGGCTGGGTGGTGATAAGTAATTCTCTGTAGCGGGGGGCTGTCCTGCACCCTGAAAGATGTTTACCAGCACCCCTCACCTCTACTCACCAGATGCCAGAGGCACCCCCTGCCTGTGACCACCAATCAGGGCCCTGGGGCGGGGGGCGCGGGGGGGCGGCGTCAAAATCACTCCATTGAGAATCACTGCCCTCAAGGGGAACAAGGTAAAGACAGAGGGGTGTATCTAAGAAATAAAATTCGTAGGGTACCCTCATACGTTATATAAGAGGAACTAAAGAAGTGAACTATTGCAGATTATACAGTCTGCTTGCAAAGGAATTCTGATGTTAAAACAGTTTTTCCAGAAGCAACATGAAGTTGAATAAAACACATGAAACATTAGTTACTCCCGAGAGAGAAAGAGGGCGAGCTGGTGACTGCCCAGCTTGCAGCCGGAGGGGCTCGCAGGCTGCGGCACCAGGAGGAGCCCACGGAGCCCAGAGGTCCCCTCGACTGGAGCCAAGGGGCTGGAGTTCGGGGAGGCCTGTGGCCAGCACTCCCGGGATGACTGCTGGGGGCCTGGGAAGGCACACAGGCTGGGGAGTGCGGGGTGGGGGGAGAAAGGGAGCGAGAGCACCTGAGACATGCTCTTCAAGTCTCTGGCTGAGCACAGATCTGGGAGTGCACAGGGCTCACTCCTCAAGGCTTGGGAGGTGGGGAGACAGGATCAAGCAGCATCAGCAAGCGGTAGAAAACGGACTCAAAAAGGACTGCATGTGCGACAGCCAAGGTGGAGAGCCCTAGAACACGCAGGGAACCGGGTGCGCTCCTCGGAAAGGGTGTGACTTAGTAGTGGGGCTTAATTAGCTGCAGATTAACAGCTGCTCTGGATCAGCCATGACCAAGTTTAAGAGGAAGCCTCAAACCAATCTGCAAGCAACTACCTATGGGCCAGAACAAAACCCACCACTCAACCCAATACAACAAAATCCAGCCCCCAGCAACGTTAAAAAACCCAAAACCTCACAGCATCTTATGTCTTGTCAAAAATTGCCAGGATTATAAAGAAGCAGAAAAATGAGACCCATAGCAAAGAGGGGATAAAAGCCAGCTGGTAAACAGTAGAGAAATGACAGAAGTGATGAAATTAAGTAAACAAAGGTCAGCTCTGTATATTATACATATGCACAAAGATGCCAATGGAGGAATGAACATAAAGAGAGAACGGGAAGATATAATAATACCCAAATGGAACTTCTAAAAATAAAAATACAATATCTGAAAGAAAAAATAAATTGAGCAGAATTAATAACAGCTTAGACACTGCAGAAATGTGTGGTGAATTGGAAAACACAGTAATTGGAATTCATTTTGACAGATGGTGAATTAGTAAATTTTTTTCCTAAGAGTTAATGAAATATGTATGCATTTGCTAAATAATTTTTTTCTCTGATTTATAATCTGGTCATTACCCTATATTAATTCATCTGATTCTGGGACTTCCAGTATGTCCTTGGTCAGCCTCATGCTGTGTCCCAGCGCTTTGACTATTAGAGCTCTACAAGACATTTTAGCACGTCATGGCAAGTCTCTCATACTCTTCTTTTTCGAAATTTCTTACCCATTCTTACAGGTCCATGTCTCAAGGTGATCCCTGGAACTTAACTACATCACAAGATATCATATAAACAATGATACCTTCAAATACTTTTTGCTTCTCTTTCCGATAATGACATGTTTTCTTTGCTTCAATCCCTACTGTATTTAGCATTGTTTCTTGATCACTAATCCAATCATAAATTCTCCCCAACATTCATTACATGCAAACATGATAGGTACTTTACCAAATTTCTGATCTGCTCTGAGTGAACTGAATGCCCTTCCTTAAGAGTCCCTCACCCATCTTTATTAGACGTTCTGTTTCCTAGATTTCACACCTTCTTTTTCTTCGTGTCTCTAATCTGACCAGCGCTTATATAGGGATTTGTCATTACGTCACAGGTGTTGAAAAAGGTCAGTAGATCAGTGAAGGGCAGACTGGTCAATAAATGGTGGTAGGTCAATTAGGATCATATGATAACAGTACTAAAACTGGCTTCTACTTCAACCATCCACAAAAATCAACCCCAAGTGGATTATAAACATAAATTTGAAAGGTAAAACAATAAAGCTCCTAGAAGATAACATAGAAAAATATCTTCATGATCCTAGGCTATAAAAGGCTTGCTTCAACAAGACACAAAAAGCACTAACCATAAATTTAAAATTATGAACATCAGCTCTTCAAAAGAGACCATAAAAAGACAATAATAACATGCCACAGTGGAATATCTGCAACACACTTAACTAATAAGGGATAGTAAAAAGAATATGTAAGAATTCCTCCAAATCACTGAGAAAAAAGACAAGCAACCCAACAGAAAACTGAGTAAAAGGCATGCACTTCACAAAGAAGTCCTTACCCAAAAGGCCAATAAACAAATAAAATGGTGCTCAATTTCATTAGAAATCAGCAAAAGACAAAATAAAACCACAATGACACACCATTCTCCCTAGATGAACAAAAAAAGTGCAAATCTGGCAAAAGCACATACTGGTAAGGATACAAAGCAAAATGAACTGTTGGAGGGACTATAAAAACAGGCGTAATGACTCTCAAGAACAATTTAGCATTATCTAGCATGGGTGAAGGTTTGCAAACCTTTCAGTCCCGCATTTCTGTGTGCCTATGTGCTCGAGCTGACATAAATAGAAAAATGCTCATGACCATTTTGTTTGCAGTTAACAAAACACTGAAACTAATTCAGGGTCCCAAAACAGGAGAGTGAACAGATAAATTATGACATAGTCAAGGAGCGGGTAGTATATAGCTACATAAATAACCTATACCTATGAGCAATGCAAGTGAATCAGGAGAAAAAGGATATACACTGCATGAAGCCATTTGTATAGAGTTCAAAAGTGGACAAAAACTGAAGTATGTTAATTATATATAAGAATCTATGTGATACACTGCAGAGATAAGAAATCCCAAACCCATAGTATTAACTACCTTTGCCGTACTTGAGGGACGGGAGATATAATCTGAATTAGGCATCTGGGAGAGTGTCAAAGATGCTGGCAATTTAATTAAGTTGACTTGGGTGGCGGAGATTCAGGTGTTCTTTTTGTTAAACCATATATACAAGGTCTGTCCAGAAAAAGTCCAGCCATTGTTACTATAACAAGATCGGTTTGAGCAATATCAATGTAACCTGGCAGCCAAGGAGAGCGGACTGGAATGCACAGGCACATGCGTGATCAAGGACTTCACTGTATTGGTCAGTGGGGGTGGTCGGCGCCATTGAGTGAGCATGTGTACTGTGTGGCCATCGCATTCAAAATGACTGAGCAGGTAGAGCAACAAGCCTGCCTCAAATTTTGTGTTAAGCTTGAACATTCCTCCACAGAAACTACTTGGATGACTCAGAAGCCCGCAGCAATGGGCACCTGGTGATGGGCAGCTTCGTCATGACAATGCACCCACTCACGCATCACATCTCATGCAGAGTTTTTTGGCGAAATATCAAATCACCCAGGTGACTAAGCTCCCCTGTAGCTCATATTTGGCACGCTGTGATTTCTGGCTTTTCTCAAAACTAAAATTACCTTTGAAAGGGAAGAGATTTCAGACCATCCATGAGATTCAGAAAAATATGACAGGACAGCTGATGGCAATTGGGAGAGCTATGTGAGGTCCCCAGGTGCCTACTTACAGGGGACTGAGGCATCAGTGTCCTATGTACAATGTTTCTTGTATCTTGTATTTTCTTCAATAATGTGTCCAGTTTTCATATTACACAGCTGGATACCTTCTGGACAGACCTCATATATACATTATATACTCTTTTGCACTTATATGTCGTAACAAAAAATTTTAAACACTTCCAGGCTGCAGCTGCCCTCACCTCCCCTGTGGGTTTACTCTCTAGAGAGTGAACGTGGAACACACCTGCTGCGGGCTCGAAGGCACCGCCGAGGCGGGGGAGTGAGTGAAAGCCTGTACTTGACAGTGAGACACCAGGCCCCTCCCCTTTCTCAGCTCCAAATTGGTCGTAACGTTCTTCAACTGCTATTCCACTGAGTTCAATGTATCACTGACAACACATCATACACCAGTCCCGGTGTATGATGCATCACAGTGTGACACAGGTTCCATCTTTCTCTAATTGTGATACGGCCATTGGTCCTGTGTTTACTACTCTGCCTCCTTAGTGGGCAGCATATCACTCATGCTCGGCACGGAGAGCTGACAGCAGTCACATCTGTCCCTGTCATCGTGCTTCACCTTTGGTTGTGCTGCTGCTGGGGGTGTGCGTGCGCGTGTGTGTGTGTAATGGAGGAGTAACCTTAGAAAACACAGTCTGTGATGAAAATGCAGTACTAGCTCGTTTTGGAATTTGATCATGCGATAAAATAGCCAGAAAAAAATTAAAACTCACCTCTGCCACTTCCTTTTGAAAAGTCAGTGTCATCTGGGTCCTGCCATAAGCAAAAGGTCCGTCTCTCTGAGAAACATTTTCGAGCCACTTGATTATCAGTGGAGTTGATACATTAAAAGGTAGATTTCCAATAATATGTACATTTGGAGGATCTGTTGGCAGGAGAAAAAAGAACTTGAAATGGTTTCATCAATATATTTTGAATACAATTTTACTTAAGAGTAAAGTCAAACTAATTATTAATAACATCCAATAAAAATATATGAAAAAACTATGGCTGAGTATTTTCCACTTTATTTATCCTTCAAAAGCAATGTTTTTTCACAACTGGCTTTGAATTAAGGAAAAAAATTCTACCTAATTAGTGTTCGGTCAGTAAAAGTCCTCCAATTTTTAGCTTAGGGAAAATATAGAAAAGAATTGCTTTGAGGAATAAAGATGATTTGCTTTGGACATGAAGAGGCCCGAGCGCTTGAGCGACAGCCGGTGAAGCCGTCAGAGGGCCGGGGCCGCGACGGGGCCAGCGCCTGGACAGGAAGTTGCAGGTGTCTGCCCTGTGCAGGTGAGAAGTGAGACCGCAGGAGAGGGGTAGTCCACGCAAACCTGCAGCAGAAAAGAAGATGCCCCTGAAGAAAAAGTCTCCGAAACACCATGTGAGCGGTGGGTGAAAACAATAGCCACCAGCAAAGGAGAGAGACAGCGAGCGCTCAACAGTGTAAATGGAAAGCAGGAGGGCCTGGTATCAGGGGAGACAGGAGCGGAGAAATCTTCCAGGAGAGAGCAGGTGACAGTCAACCAGGGAGAACTGCGTGAGATGCGGCTTGAAGCAATTAGGAGCTCACCGTGGTCGGGCGGGGGCGGGGGCGGGGGCGGCCACCTGCTCGCAGGGGCAGGGGAGGAGGGCAGGCTGGAAGGCGGAGGGGCGGCACCTGAAGGTCAGTCTCAAGGATGCTCTGGCTGGGACGCACCAAAATCGCTCCTCCATTTGTCCTGAGGGGTCCATAGGCAAAAATGAGCAATTTTCTCTGTATCTCACAGATCTGGGGCCCAGGGGTTCTCCATGAACACTGCCTATGGATGGAGGGTGCCCTGGCTGGTGGCTGAGTGTGAGGGACAATGGAAATGAAGGAAAAGAGGTGGATGTGGCTTGGTTTACGGAAACACTTGGTTTTTGTTTACCATTTGGAAAAAGTAACACCTCCTAGTTCATCCCATTCTTATGTGGAATCTTAAAAATGACAAGTTTATTTGATACAACCCAAAGCATTTGAAAAAGACAAATAAAATTAAGAAAAAGTAATTAGATTTTAAATTTTGGAAAAGAGTAGAAGGGCAGAATAGAATTACAATGCATATCACATATTAATTCTGTTTAGATAATTTTTAATATAAACATATAACATTTGTAACAAATACATAATATAAATATTTCTTATATAAATAATTATAAACAAATAAGAAAACCAATCCAAAGTCACTTACCATCCTCCCACTGTCTTTTAAGACTTTCTGGAAAAGCCCTTTCTACCTTAAACGTCAACACGTCTCCATGGACAATTCTCAGTTTTCCAGGGGCTGCATCAGAAAGCATCTAATTTACAGAAAGGTCAATAAAATGAGCTCATGCACTTCAGCAAATACTGAAACTAATTTTTTTTATTTCAAATCTGTGCATTATTAAATTAATCTGAAAAGCCAGAGACTAAGAGTGACCGTTAATGAACTAACAGTAAATGGCATCCACTGTAATAGACTACTATGGTGTTTTACGTTTAACTTCTTTTTTTTTTTTTTCAATAAAGGAAAAAGTGATTTAATGGGCTGGGGAGATCTATAATAAAAATCTGCTTACATAAAAAATATAAATGCAAATGAATATGAAAAATATAAACACATTACAGTCTACTTACATAAAAACTGAAAAGCACTTGAGAAGGAAGCTTATGAAATGAAAAACAGAGAATGAAGAGGCCGAAGCAGCGGGGGCAGACCCACCAGGACGGCGGCCACGTAGGCGCAGGTTCGAACCAGCGATGCCAGGGACGCAACACACACTAATCACGTCCCGGGGGAGGGGACAGCCCCGCAGCAGAGCCGGTAGACGTTCGGAGGCGGGAGGCTCGCCTGCTCCGCCGCAGGCACCTCCAGACGCTGTGTCCCTCCCCAGGCGGCCGGGGACCGCGCCCCTGCTCCGCGGCCGGAGGTGGCCCCGACCCTGCGGAGCGCTCCAGCACCAACAAAACGTCCCGTCTCCCAAGCGTCCACAGCAAGGCCAGTGCTTAGGAGGACTGGCACCAGCGGGGGGCAGCAGCCTGCGGGGGGCAGTCCACGCCCCACCTCGAGGGCCGGGTGCCGCCCCGCGAGCCTGGGCCCCGCACTGTGAGGGCTTCTGCGTTTCGAGTAGGCCCGGTGTCTGGATTTTTTCTCAAGTTCCCTACATTTCAGTATCGGCAACAAATCCATTTACAAAAACATACCATGGGCCAAACAAAAACAGGTCTGTAGTCCCAGTGGAACCCCTGGGTAATCGGTCTGCAACCTCTAGTTCGTTTATTTTTTCTTGTTGTTCTATCCCGGTTGTCCCACTTTCCCCCATTGCTCTCCCTTGCCCCGCAGGTCACAGTATAGAAAAAGCTTATCATTTCACAAGTGATTTATTAACGTACTTTTGCCTCTCGGAATGACTTGTATTTCTGTATGGATGTGGCAAAAACTCAACTCAGTTTTTAAATTAGAGGCTAAGCATCATAATGAAATACCGAGAATTAGAAGTAAATCACATGAAAGATGAGCTTAATTCAACTAAATCTTTATGGCCAAAAGTTACATACGGGAGAGACTACACTGCCGAGGTCTTCGCCTTGGTCTGCGGGGAGGCCGAACCAGGGGGGAAGTCACTGGGCTGGGCCGGCCGCAGGGGGCCCTGGGAGGCGCCCCGGCCCGAGCACCCCTCACCGTAATACCTCCTTACCCACAGGCTCTTTCAACCTAATGACTTTTCCCGCTTGTTTTAACAGGAAAACAATCCCTGCCTAACCATTTGCTGTCCTCCTTCTTCCTTCATTCTTTCTGGGTGAAAAAGGAAAAAATGGGGAGTCGGTGAGGTGAGGGACCCTTCCCTTTGTTATCTTCCTTCCTGCACCCCACCCACCTCGGCACCACACCTCAGAAACGCCCTCACAGCACCACAGTCCGGGCACTTGGCTAAAAAGAGCCTCAGAGCCAAGCCATCTGTAAGTCCGTATCATGTTAAGTGCCCCGTATCCAACACAAAACTTGATTCTTGAAGACCTTGGCACATAAAACCAGATGCAGCCCCTAAGCCTATGAAGTTTAAAATGCAGGAGTGACTATAATCAATGAGAACCAACATCACTGTGGTGGATTACAAAGGAAGAGGTAACCGTCTTCCATACTAAGGCTCAGCTCAGGGAGCTCAGAGAACCTCAGCACCCCTCCGTCTTGCTTCTCTAGCTCAACCCAAGCTATCGCTCTCCTCTCTCCTTGCCTGACTCAGGCAACTGACAGGAAGGATGAAAGAAGCACCACACAAGCCAGAGAGAAGACAGGGAGGAGGGGGCCAGTCTGTAGATTTCTGCCACCCGTGGTCAGGCATGGGTGGCACTGTGGCTTGCACATGCTTCTTTGTAGCACTTAACCACACTGTATCACAATGATGTATCTACAGGTTTCCTCCCCAGCAACAATGTGTGCTCCCGAAGGGCAGCTCCTGTTACTTCCCTTAGCGTCCCCTGCAGTGACAACAATATAGAGCCGGTCTTCATACATATTTGATTAAGTGGATGACCAGGTAGCATTCAGTTTTTGTGAAGCTAGCCTGTGCGATTTTGGGGTCCTCCAATTTGTAAGGTCAATTAACTTGCAAAGACTTATTTCACTGATAATTCAGGCAGAATTATACAAGGAATGTTTCAGAAATACAGAGCTGAATTGCCTATGATGCTAAGTGGCTAAACATTTTAAGTTTGGGAATCAGCTAGTTTGATATATTTAGCCATGGTAGTTCAGCAAAAATAACTGCATACCTCTTATGTTAAAGTACTTATGGATTATTTTAAATTACCATAATTTGTTAAAACTTAATTTAATGAGTTCCAGACAATAAATCTTAGAAAACCTAATAACCACAATATACTATAAATAAAAAAGGAGATAGCTCTCTATGGGATAGGCACTTACTACGTAAACACTGAGTATTTAATGATAGCATTTACCATCAATGAAGAACATTAGAATTTTTTCTATAATTATACTTCACATAATTAAAACAAAACAAATTAGCATACCAAAAACAAAGAGGCAGAACTAAAAGCCTATGTTTCACAATGTCAATATATAGAAAGTAATTAAGTAATTAGTAATTAAGACCAAAACAAAACAATGTAAACTCAGCTCTTTGGTATTAATTTACATGCTCTGATAACCACATTTGAAATGTTAAGTTTTTCCACATTGACATACACAGCTGCTTACAAGAAAACTGACATACCACACATTTATCTTCCTTCCCTAGGTTTAAAGTTACATTTGTCTTACATATTTTTTGGATTCCCCTTCAGGCTTAAGCCTCAGTCAATGACAAACCACACCCCCCCATTCTTTAAAAGGTCTGCCCCTTCGCTGACCGCTTTGCAGCCTATCTTCCCCTTGCCGACTCCCCGCTGCAGAAGGGTACATGCTGGTGTTCACAGTTGCGTGTGAAGGCTCTGGAGCAACTATGGGGGAAAAGGTTCTACTCAAGCTGAAATGATAGCATGATCACAGACAATAGCCATTTAAACACCTAATGACACTCAGCAACGGCACGGCCTTTCTAACTAACCACTTACAGAGAAGTAAGTTTTCATCACCATGGTATTTGGGGATGATGGAGGACTGGGAAAAACCATTATTGCAGCCCTTCAAGAATAACACTGGCACATTACACTTTAAAACCCTGGAGGTATTACCTCCTTGTGAGCTGGAGGGCTCACAGGACTACGAATGCAGGCACTTGAGTACAGCCAACAAGTACTGCTACGCACTCTTAAACTGTTCAATCATTTTTATTTTAGTGTTCAATCCTATATTCTTCCAAAATGCAACATAAGCAAGCTTAAAGTAAAAGCATTCATTAAATAAGGCTGTAAGGTAAGAAACAGAAAACCAAACCATGAAAAGGAGAAGCATGTACATGTATGTAAATTGTGAGAGCTAAGCACCCTAGAGATGTTAGCGCTCATGATTGATGTACTGAATTATAAAATTCTTACTCTCCAATGGAAGTAGTTACACCAAATATCCATGAGAGAAAGTGTTTTTCTTTTTTCTTTCTGCTGTTGGGTTTTGTAAAGGGCACATGTCACAACATAATGGAGAACAACTTTATAAAAGAAAAAAACAAAGGCAGAAGTATTTTTTGCGTGGTCACCTAAAAATATTTGTCTTCTAGTAAGTCAAGGTCTTAGTGTATACTTTTCTGTAGGGACCAAGTAACTGTGGTCCATCTAGGTAGTTTGTTGGTGATCTAACTCGATGATGAAGGAATTTGTGCAATTCTTGGAACTTACGTACAATTATAAATTCCTTGAGAACAAAAATCTGTGTCAAATAGCCACCTTGCATATGTCATACCACCTCCTCATGGGGAGGGGCTCATGGCAGCCACCACGGCCCAGCGGGCTAAGCCGTGACCACACAGCTCAGCAGTATCCGCGCCTTCCTGACGCACCAGGACTCCAGCCGCTGCTGGCGTAACGGCTGGGCAAAGCTGGTAGGCGAGCTGTGTGAGAATAAAAACGACCTGTCACAGGGAACACGGCAGGTGAAAAATAAAATTTTTATTCTTATATAGACTAGAAAAGACTAACGCTATTTTTCAAAAGGAATTCAAGACATTACAATAGACTTAGAGTGAAGATTACTGCATGATTTCCAAAAGTCAGCTTGCTTCGCTTTTTAAGCAGGACCACAGCATGCACAGTAGAAACTCATTTACTCAGCCATACAAAGGAATTAGATGTCTGATTCAGTAAATTTTCTATTCAGCCATGTTTACTCCTTTAAGTGTTAACAGTTCTTAAAAAGACACAGGTGGAAATCTTTCTAAACTTCACTGCACAATTATCTCCTTTAAGCCAAGTACAATGAGCCCAATTTCACCCTTTTCTTGATGACTTTCCATTTTTGCCTGTAGAGTTATGGCCTCAATGGTTATGACCCTTATTACTGCGGGGTTTTTATTTTGTTTTTATAGCTTTTCTTTGTAATACTTCTTGCTGTTTTCAGTGGGTCTGCTTCTAGCACTGACCTCCATACTTTTAATTTGAGGTAGACTAGGGAATCACTTAAAAAAATTTTTTTTATAGATTTGAGAGAGAGAAGAAGGGGAAGGAAGGGGAAGAGAAGGGAAGGGGAGGGGAGTGGGGGAGGAGAGGGGAGAGAGAGATCAATTTTCTTGTCTACTTACTTATGCATTCATTGGTTGATGCCTCAACAGGGGATCAAGTCTGCAACCTTGGTATATTGGGATGAGGCTCTAACCAACTGAGCTACTGGTCAGGGTTAGGAAGTCACTTTGGATGTAAGCTA